CTTTGATATTTCACTAATTATTATTTCATAATCACATGCAGTTGGAAATAAAATTTGCTGGATTTAGAAGAGGTCACAGAAGACAAGGTTTTTGGGATTAGCTTTGACTAAACCAGGACATCTGGTTTGGTCTCCAAAGATTACAACATTTATGCTACTTTTCACATGTCATAACACATTTACCATTTATTTCCTAGAGACTTACAGCATCTCTCTCTGGGATCACCATTTCATCATCGTCCTAATAACACAATTTGTTCTCAAGGTTAGCTACCTAATATTTAAAGTTTTACTTCTACAAAACCTTGAGCCAATTGTTGAAATCCTGACTCAGACAAATCTCTACTCTGGAGACAGTTCCGGGATAAAATTTGAAGGAGAAAACATAGTTTAAGAGATAGAGTGGAGGACAACTGGGAGTCATTCCAGAATCTGTAGTCTCGGGAAAATCTCTCTCCTACTAAGTAATATTTGAGATCAGGGTGACATTACTTATGCTTTTTTGTAAAGCGTTTTACTATCTGCAGGTAAAAAGTGCAAAGTATTAATATAATCCTGCCTCGAGATCAGAACCCTTTAGCATCTCCCCAAACCTTGGGGTATTTAGTAAACTATTTTGAGGGGAATAGAGACCGTGAGAGTGTAACCTGAACACTGCAAAGAAAAGGAAAATAGTAATCTGATATCACTCTAAAGTCAATAGAAGTAGCCATGCTGAAAGAGTCCCAGAGGTGAAAGCGATGTCCAGGCCTACAATATGGCCTGTCTCATGAGTAGATTATTAAAAATGTTGAACCAGTTGCAGTAACTCTTTTATCGGTGGTTTTCGATGGCTAGTGGTTCTAGGACTGCTTTGAAGAAGACACTAAAGTATCCAACAATCAGAAGTTTGAACACTCCAGTTTCATGACTGAGCTGAAGTCAGGAACCTCGCTGAGAAATAGCCAAACATACTTCACAGAGTGGTTGGGATTTCAGTGGGAATCATAAAGATTGTTTCTAGTGTATCTACAGACACCGGGAGCAGCTGGCAGCACCTTGAGCTATTCTTTACAATCAAATTTCCAGTCTTGGATGCTGAATTACCAAAGCATTTTGAGGGACATGGTTGTCCAAACAAGCTTTGAACAACAGTACTGCCAATTCTCATTAATATGTCATTAATCCAGTTTAGTGTCTAAGATAAGATCCTGAGGCAAATCTCACGATTAATGGACTTATCATGCTCCCACTGAAGTCAGTGAGACTTTGTCAGTCACCTCAGTAGGCGTTGATTCACGTTCTGAGGCCAAAGGGACTTAGCTGCTTATCTCCCATTGATTTAAATGGAAATCGATGGGAGTTTGGTGCCTAAACACCTTTGAGGATTTGGGCCTAAATGCTTCATCCTTGGTTAACAGCAATGACTACTCTAATAACATCCTGAGAGCTTAATCACAGCATTACTTGCAAAGTAATTTGCTTGTATTTAAAACTGGGGACCATGTTCTCTGTTTCTTCTATACAGTTCTGTCAGCCAGAATGGCTCTTATTCTCCTGCTCACATCAGCATCCTCTAGATGATGTAATTCACTTGGAGATGTCTAGTATTGTATGAAGAGGGAACAAATACTTCAATGAGTTGAGGATGGGTCACTGAATCCTGTACAGAGGTTAAGGTCACAGACTTCAGAGAGGACTATAATATCTCTCAGCTGCTGACCCGACATGCAAATTTGTAACATGCAATAAAGGGAAGGAAGGCATATGCAAACTCGGATTCCACTGACAGATGCAGAGTCATGTAGCACAGCAGGTTCTGATCAAAAATGCTTGGGTACTGTTCTTTGGTGCACTTCACCATAGAGTCCAATTTTCCCTATGTCATTACATTCTGCCTTCAGCACAGGAACATACTTGGAGGAATTTGCTACATGCTTTGTAAGGCCATAACAGAACATGAGCATGAATATTAATTTGGCTCGTGAAGATAGTGCTTATAGTGTGAGCGCAAAACTTTCACTTACTCTGTTTGGATTATGGTTCTTCAAGCCCACTTAATATAACTCATTACTATTGGCTGGGTATCTCCTCCAGCAAGTAGCTTTGAATCACTATCTAGTTTACTAGAGTAATCATTTTCCATACTGGAAGATTAGGTACAAGTAACAGCACACACAAGTGTGCTCCTCATTTCAGACTTTGTTACCCACATGAAATTCAGCCTGTTAGATATGTGCTTCCCATAGTGCACTAATGCAGTAACTCAGGGGTCGGCAACCTTTGGCACACAGCTCGCCAGGGTAAGCAGGATGTTTTTCTAAATGTTCTGCTTTAGAAATTGTTTTTGGAAGTTCTGTAACCTGTTCTACACAGGAGATCAGATGAGATGATCACAATGGTCCCTTCTGGCCTTGGAACCCTCGAACCTAAATAATGGGTAAAAATGATAAGTTAATGTCAGACAACTGAGCTAAACGTTAGTGTTGAAATCAAAGGACTCTCTTCCACCGTAATGGAGTGAAATGTGGGTCACAGGTTGTTGCGTACATGTAGGAATCTGAAGGCCTCATTACTGCAGTATCTGAGCATGTCACAAACATCAAGGAGTGAGACTTTAAAGAAGCCTAAAGGATTCAGATGCATTTTTTATTACAATTCATGGAACGTACCTGGCTAAATTCCCTAGACTGTTCCGAAAATCTTCCAACACTCCTGTCAAGTAGGGAAGTATTATTGGTCCCATTTTACATAGAAGTAGGGGTGAAAGTAACTTAAAGGAGTCCTGAGCGGGGTGAGGCCTCAACCGGAAGAGGCGGGGCCTTTCAAGATTTAAGGGCCCTGGGGCTCCGGCTGTGGCTGGGAGCCCCAGGGCCTTTAAATCACCCCGGCGCTACCAGCTGCAGAGGCAGCAGGGAACCCCGGGGCTCAGGGGAGAATTAAAGGGCCTGGGGCTCCGGCCGCCGCAGAGCTCCGGGCTCTTTAAATCTCTGCAGGAGCCCTGCCACTGCTACCCCGGGGTGGCAGAGCTCAGGCGGGGATTTAAAAGACCCAGTGCACCTGCCAGTGCGGGGAGCCCTGGGTCCTTTAAATCCCCACCCGAGCCCGGCTGCCGGAGGCCCGGGGCTCTGACAGCGATTTAAAGCGGGGAGCCCATGGCCCTTTAAAGCGCTGCCCGAGCCCAGCTGCCGGAGCTCCAGTGGTGATTTAAAGGGCCCGGGGCTCCCCGCAGCGGCTGGAGCCCTAGGCCCTTTAAATCACCGCCAGAGAAGCAGTTCCAGTCCGGCACGGCGTACCGGCTCTTGCCGGTACGCCGTACCATACCCGCTTACTTTCACCTCTGCATAGAGGGAACTGATGCACAGAGAGAATGGGTACTAGAGTGTCCTAGTTGATTGCACAGGGGACTGAGCTCAGCTCAGATGGCCAGGGGGCTACTCACTTGATCCTACATCCTGTGAATACTGGCTGGGGAGGTAATGGACAGGGGTGGGGTGGAAGAGGAGCTTTGTGTCTGTCCTATGTCTACAGAAGCCATCCTGACTAGCTGGCCAGTTCACAGCCGGGAGTAGCTCACAGAAGCTGGGAATGGGTGACAGGGGATGGATCACTCAATGATTACCTGTTCTGTTCATTCACTCTGAAGCACCTGGCATTGGCTACTGTCTGAAGACAGGATACTGGGCTACATGGACCTTTGATCTGACACAGTATGGCCATTCTTATGTGTGACACATTAAGCTGTGTCATTAAAAAGATGAAGTAACTCAGTTCATCCCAGATCAAATGGAGAGCAGGGGACAAATTGTGTGTACCTGGTAAGAGCTGGTTCTCTGGTCTGCTTCTAGGACAGTGCAACTACACACTCTCTCTTCCTTAGGGTACATTGCAAAGTTAAAATCTATCACTAGGTGATTGTCCAAAGTGACATGGGAAGAGCAGTCTAGGGCACAGCCTGGAATTGAATTCAGAGTACCCGCTTTGCGCACCAGTACCTTAAGACCATTCTTCCTTG